AGAGAGAGAGAGAGAGAGAGAGAGAGAGAGAGAGAGAGAGAGAGAGAAAGAGCAACTTATTTAATTGCAGACAGATCATTAAAAATCGTTCGCTGAAATGAGCATGGTCGCTTAATGAACGCGCTTCCATATTGTGGATGCCCGAACCGTTTTGCCGGAAGAAAATAATTGGAACCGAATAATTGGATCTAACCTAGGAAGTTGGAGAATTACGAATGAAACCATCTTGGCTCTCGTCCCTTACGCGCGAACAGTCTTCCACTTTTACGAAACTTTGCGTCGTCGTAGAATTCAGTCGGTACGTCCGAGAACAAAAAAAAAAAAACAGTCTTTACGCAGACGTACTTCACGCTCCTTGCCATTACGATCTAGCCGGTACGATGGTTGTTCGCGTCGTATTTTCGTCGACTCTTTCAGTTCGCTGAAAATCTTGCCGAAACTAATTGCAATCAACAAAACCGAAACGGTGCAAGGTGGTTTTAAAAGTAAATTTTCTCTCTCTCTCTCTTTGTCTTTCTCCCTCCCCCACTTCCCCTCTTCTCTAACATTGTGCGCGAAGCGAGATTCGCGAATGTTACACATAGTGTGCTCTTTCGCCGAAATGCAAGATGCACGTTTAACGTGCTTAGCAAGCTTCATCTACAAGCGCGGTCGAAACAGCTTAAGCTGCGCGCTTAATGTGCCCCGACTTGCGTTTCTGAGAAGCGTTCAAGGAAAATGGAACTGCACGGAAAATCCAGCGAGATGCCACACACGGTGCAACTAGGAGAACAGATTCGTTGAACGACCTGGCATTATTCTGGATTGCGGGACGCCGCAATTGAACTCACTGATCAGTTGTTCAAGGAATTCCAGATCTAATTAGGATCAATCGCGATCGGACGACCGATTATCAGCGAGAAAAGTTCGCTGAGAAAGATCTCGAAAGATCTTTATTTACTTTATCGTGCAACATCTCCGATGTTATTTCGCGGTAACACGCTTAATCGTATAGTATCCTGCAAAATAATGGCTCTCTGTAATATTAATAGACGCGGGGCGTTATTTCTTTAGTGAGCAATACCGTAACCGGACTCAGTTGCGGAAGTCCTACAATAGAAAGCATAGCAAGTTATAATCGCAACAAGTGTTATCGTCCGAAGCGTCATCAAAGATCAAAATCGTACAGAAATCATGAAATCGAGAAGCGCCGATATCGTAGATATTAAAGGGTCGCATTGCATTCACATGAGCGAGCTCAATTTGATATAGTAAACTTTGAATAGACTGCCTTCCGATTATATTCCGATTAATAGCAATAACCTCGGTCCTGCGAACTGCATCTTGCCAGTGAGTTTTAGGGAGAAGCACATGAGAGAGAGAGAGAGAGAGAGAGAGAGAGAGAGGGAGAGAGAGAGAGAGAGAG